GAAGGTAAAAAAAAAAAAAAGAATGAAAGTTTCAGCGTTAATGAGATAGAACGTATTCTTGTATAAAACGCATTTCTTTAATGCATAAGTAGATAAAATATTTAAAAAAAAAAAAATGAAGTATGTTTAAGTTGTAAATAACTCGTAAAACACGTCGTTATTCTCGTGTCAGTGTAAATTACACGAAATGATTTCGACTCTAAGTTCTTTCAAATGTAATCATAATATGATAATAAGTCTCTAGTTTATTCATTTATTTTACAAAATATTTATATAACATTACATAATATTAATTTTATTTATATTATCTTTACTAAACGAATATCTTAAATATCAATTGCTGCTGTATGAGATCAATTCTAATACATATGATATCGTTTATATTTTCACGAAAAAGGATCAAAAATTAATTTTTTTTGTTTTTTTTTTTTTGTTTTTTTCTCTGTCTCTCTTTCTCTCTCTCTCTCTCTCTCTCTCTTTTCTAATCAGTCGAATAACGAATAAAAATCACCGGCACTGGCATAAGAAATTGAATGTTTCATTTACGGAATAAACATCGATAGCATTATTAGATTCGCATCGATGACCACTCATAGTAATTACTGTAAATGAAACATCTGTGAACAAGCCATTGACTTTGTTGACGATCGTGTTACATAGAAATGTTTTTGTACGGAGAGTCGCTTTTTAGTTTTTATTCACAGAAAACGAAGTTATAGCTTTAACAATGCAACATGGGACTGGCATCTGGATTATTCGAATCATCCACCACCTGATGGTGAGTGTTTTCAGGTGTTCGACTGCCTTCAGTTCCCCTTCAGTTAGATCTATCCTATAATGATTCCGATTCTATCTTTTTATCGTAACCATATTTTCCTTTACGAATTACCATTGTGTTAAAGGCATGTCATTTATTAAGACACGTCTCGGGGTGTTTGATGTTCACTCTTTAATAATGATATTAATAATAATAATATACGTAATATAGATATCGATATGAACGATACATCGCAACGTATTATCTCAGGAACTAAGTATTTGCAGAATAATCTTGAAATGAATGTATATTTGCATACGAATTACGAATTACGTTTGTATAAATCCGCGAATTAACATTGCTATCCGAAATACATGGTTATTTTTTTTTTTTTTTTTCGAAAATTTATTCGATTAAGAATTATTGAGATAATCTGCGAATACTATAGTTAATTCGAGCGGTTAGGGACCATTTCGTTGTTTGTATATATTGGTCGTAATCATGAGATCGTATTTTTTTTCTTTTTTTCTTTCTTTTTTCTTTTTTTTTTTTTTTTTTTTCGTTCTAAAGCTTCTTTGCTCGTATACGTCTTATGTTACGTTAATCAAAGTATAAATGTATAGTCAGCAAATTACATTATAATTTTTTTTTTTTTTTTTTTTTTTTTGCTTCTGTTATAGTCGAATTAGATTCATGTACGTAAGCATTATGTCACTATCTTTATACTGTATTCTGTCATTTTCTTACATTCACTTTAATTTTTGTTCGTGTGATACGAGCATTCGAGATTTTTACAGGTCTAGGTGAATGTACAAAGTAACTGACTTGGATGTAAATCGAGATATTCAAATCCTGAATAAAATTTTTCTTATAAAAGAATCTACTATGTTATCCGTTACTAAGAATATTATTTATTCTAAATATATATTCTTTCGTTTATACAAATTATTTATTTTATTTCATTTCGATTATAAAAACGAATTTTATAATTTAATAATCGAATTGAATTTCATTAAAATTAAAAATTTCATTAAGAAAACAAGAATTGGATATTTTTTGAGAATATAATATCGTTATTTTTTTCATACATAAGCAAATTTGAATAAAATTTTATCTATTTTAGTTCGATTATAAAGTTATCACATTTTCTAAAGTAAAATTCATAAATTATCACATTTTATCATTATACGATGAAATGTAATTTATAAATAAATAACACAATAAACTGTATAATAAGTGTCAGTTCCTAATTCTTCAATTAGAATGAAAGTCTATATTTAATCATAATTATTTTCTCTTGAACAAATTAAATTAAATAATTATATTCTTGTTTTCTTTCAACGGAACAGAAAAAAAAAAAAAAGAAAAAAGAATTTTAGATTTTGTAGATTTTATAAATTCTCTTCCTTTCTTTTTTCTCTTTCAATAAAACAGACTCAAAGAAGATTAGTGCAATATAAATATTTTTAGGAATTTTCGACTGATTTTTTTTTAGTTAATCATAGCGATAACTAATTAAAAACTTTAAACGTTCGAAAAAGGGAAAGTTACGATTATATAGAAACATTTTATTCGAAAAAATATACGTTTCGTGAAGCTAGGTGTACACGCGTGTAAATTAGCATCTCGAAAAAAGACACTAAGCTTTGCTCGTATTTTTTCCAACAAAGTCTTTGATCGTAATTTTTCCATTATTTATTTATTAATTCTAATTCCTAAACTATTTGATCGAAGTTTGGATACAATTTTTCGAGCATCTAACGCGATACGATTAGAATTAAAAATAGCAGCTTGTAATGCTCAATAAAAATGCTCAAGAAAGAATTTTTTTATAATTAAATCACAGTATCAACGAATTCAACGGAATAATTAAAAATTTAACGCTGTTTATACTCGATGAAAATTTTCCAAATAATCCAAACTTTCCTCTTCAAATATCTTCTGTTTAACTGTCAATTTTTTTTTTTTTTTTTAATCTTATGACGTCTTATGAGTCCTGAAATTAATCATTATTCCTTTATTTGTTAATTTCTTGATTCATTTCCCGATATATCGGAATAATAATCTTTCATTACTATATTTTCTGATATACCGGAGTAGCGTATGTGCGAATAACATAATATAATACTTCAATGTTATCTAACAAAGAGAAAAAAAAAAAAAAAAAAATCACTATCGAAATGACGTATGAATATATATATATAGTATCGTGAAATTTTACACAATACTATCAGGCAGATCGATAAAATATAAACAGTGAACATCAATATTATCCTCGTGCGTATACAGTAACAATAAGTATCATGCTTTTTTGTTACTTAGAAAAATAAAATAAAATAAAATTAAAAAAAATTAAAAAAAAAAAGAAAAAAAAAGAAAGAAAATAAAAAAATCGTAATTAGAGAAGAAAAAGAAAAGAAGAAGAAACTGAATGAGATCGTGCACTCGGAACTCCATTCACGTATCTTTTCGTTCCGAAACGTCAGACATGTCTATAGCACATTCATGTGTCCTCGATCCATTCTCGAGAACATTGCGTCGTTCGTTTGTGTATCGGTGCGACGTTCTCGAGAGCCACCTAATATAAAACAAATTAAAAGAAAAGAAAAAAAAAATCCCCTCCAAAAAAACGAACAAAACAAATCGAAAAAAAGATAAAGAAAAAACGCGAAATGGTGAACCATCACCCGTAACACACATATACACACACATATACACACGTACACACCTTTCTCTTGTACAATAAAAAGCGAATAAAAAATCAAGTGAAAAAAAAAAAATTTAAAAAAAAAATAAAAAAAAAATGAAAAATTCGAAAAAAAATTTTGCTGAAGGCAAGGATCTAACTATCTAGGAACGAGTGTTTATAAGAGTGCGCGGAAAGTCCAAAATTTTGAAGGTTTCTCGATCGATCCATTCGTCTCTAGAATCCTTCTCGGACGTTCCCCCTTTATATTATAATCCTTTCTCTCTTTCTCTCTCTCTTTCTCTCTGTCTCTTTATCCCTCCCTTTATATTCCGCCCTTTTTCTCTCTCTTTCTCTCGAACACGATATAATATAAAAAAAAAAAAATTTCAAAACGGACGAGACATTTAGTGAACACTCGCTTCCATTAATCCACGAAAACATAACCAACACAGCACAATATTAACACGATACATACACACAGAGTTAGAAAAAAGACACGAATAACACACGGAGTAATCACGGTGTAACACAAAACTTAAAAAAAAAAAAAAGTGCATATTCATATACTGACAAGAGGACCCCGTGCACAAACAGACGCACGATTTTATATGGAACATAATTGTGGAGGTAAACTGCGAATGCATCTGCGAGGTTGCGTGTGTTTTAACATATGAATGTGTGAGTCAATTTTGTCTGAATGAAGAGGAAAAAAAGAGAGAAAGAATGATGATAAAAAATAAAGCAGCATCGAATACATTACCATGTGTTTATGTGCTTGTACAGCGTACACAGGCTGTCACGATACACCGACACGGCCCCCGACTTCCTAAATAAAAATGTGCGGGGAGGGGAAAACAAAAAAAAAAAAAATGGTATGGATCCGATTTTTTAGTCAACCGAGAGTCGTACGTACTACACCCATGATCACACGACCCTCACGTGAACGAATCGTTGTAACCGTGACGAAATTCTTTTAGGTTCTCGGTACCGACGAAGAAGCCCCCTTCCTCTGTGTCGATACGTGTCAACTTTGAGAAACGAAAAATGACCGCCGTGAGAGGAGAGGGTGAAACCGATTTCTCGATATAAGGTCGCCCCGCTGGGAAACGAACACACATTAAATTATTAATTATCAATTATCGCTACAACCAGAATATTTATCACTAGAACTACCTCCAACTACCTGCGTGTATACATATTAAATATTAAATTTATATCGTAATATCCTTTTCCGTTGAAAATTATCTCTCGCACATCTCTCAATAATCGCGAAAGTGGAAAAAGCGTTTAGGTAGTTCTAGTGTTAAAAAAAAAAGACGATCGATTGACAACATTTATTATACACCGTATTTCCATTCTTGTCCCCTAATTTTCTTTTCTTTTTCATATTTTTATAATCATCGCTTTCGTTACTCATCGTGCGAAAAAACGTTATAGCCCACACGATTCGGCCACGATCGCTAAGAATTCGCTCCATACCAGCAAGCAACAATTCCTTTCGAATCGATTCTTATACTCGACCGTGTATCTCTCGTTGTAGAATTGAAACGCGTGCAAAAACGTTCCCGTCTCTGTCTTATTTCCGCGTGCGAGTTGGAAATCTATCCCGTGTCTCTCTCTCTCTCTCCTCTCTCTCTCTCTTTCTCTCTTTCTCTCTCTCTCTCTTTCTCTCTCGACTTTTGGAGAGGTGAGCACGGGAGGATGCACCACTGTTACTGAAAGTTCCTGCCACTGAAAGTGTACACACGCGCTGCAACCGTGGACCGTGTGGCGCGAGAAAAAAAGGGGATCGGTGTATCGTGAAGGCCGTATGCACGTTAGCTGTTACTCCATTCGTAGGATCGAGGTCGTTGTAAAGAGATAACGCACGACGGCAGGGTCCATGTGCTTCGACCTGGCAATAGGGACGATTATTTACCGTGAAGCACGAGTTATATGCATAATTTGTATCCTCCCTCGGCAGTTGTACATTCTGTATCTTTCTTGAATAAACCGAAATAAATTTTTCTTTTAATTCCTTCAGCCAAACACGAGCCGCTGCTCGGCGACGATTAGGTGGAATGACACATTCCGAGAAGCTGATATATCGGCGCGATGTTGCCCGGCCACGAGGAAGTTCGTGGAAGTGGGCCTTCCAACGGGAAGAATATTGATTTCGACATTTCGGATTCTGTAGCCACTCCACCTTGTCGACGTTGACGTTTCTTCTTTTCCCGGCCCGACACCTTATATCCCTCGGTTAATCATCGTCAATCGTGCATCATTTATCGTGGCGTGAAATAAAGCGGTAATGGCATGTGTACGAAAGGGGGGGAGAAAAAAAAAATTTATATAAAATAGTAGAGAGATGCGAGGATTAAAGGGGGAAGATTTTTAATTTTTTATCGTACGACGAAAGATTGATACGTTTAAAGTAATTATTAGATTTAATATTTAAGTTTTTCTAAGATTTAGTTGCAAGGTTTTAATCGTTACTCGTAGTTAATTGGAACAAATACTTTTTTGGTTTTATTTTTATTTTTTATTTTGATAAATTGAACCTGCTAATCTGGTGTTTAATCGTTTAGATAATACTTTTTAGAACGGAGAGGTAGGCCATTGATGCTTTTACTATCTATAAATAAATTAGGCAAATGTAAGAGAAGAATTTAGACAATGATGGTTTTATAATTGAAAAATAGCTTACAACGCCAAAAGTTTCTAAAGAAAACACGTAAAACTTGCCAGCTGTTAGGTATAACGGTTTCTGCGCTCGAGCGATACAAAATATTAAAGACCGCGTGTACTGCTCTGGTAAATCGTACCAATTAGTAAAGTAACAAGCCATTTGCACTTCGCTACTCTGAAAATAATAGCGATTTATAGTTTTATTAAAACTGTCTAAGTGTAAATTGTGTAAGTGTTTTAATAAATATTCATGACACATTTCGATTAAAATGTTCCTAGAAAATTATAACTTATCCAAAGAGTAATTAATATAATAAACAACTCAACAGGATATCTAATTAATTTTAAAACTAGTTTAGAATTTGTTAATCCCGATCAATTAAATTAAATTATTATATTTTAAAAATTGTAAGTTGAAAAAAAAAGTTTAAATAAACAAAAATATATTCCTCTCTAATTATAAGATTTTTGATAATTACCTCGTTAATGAGACACTCTCCCAAGAAACAATAGCAGAATGCTAACAATATAACAGCACAAGAGTAGATTATAAAATGTATCGTATTCATATCTTCTCCCGATTCGCTTGTCTAGAAAATATTTATAATTGCATGATCCTCGTTGAATTTAAAAAAAAAAAAATGAAACACAACGGATCAAGTGCTTTTAATAAAGTGCAAAAATTATTATATCTAAATAATTACAACATTACCATAAGTAATTGATAGACCACGATGCACAGTGAGAATATTAATCCTAATGTTTGTACAAACATGAGAGAACTAAACGTGTTCGCTAAAATATTCGCCAATCTACAATTAAATTAAACAAATGGGTGATCATGCGATCCTAATATTTTCATCAAAGTTCAAGTATCAAAGTTTAGATTTATTTTAAACGAACGACTCACCGTAGAAGTTCGGTGTGCCGTTCAACGAGTGCCTTCATTTTCGGAAAATACATCTTCGGTTCGATATTGACGTTTCTCATGCGATATGCTACAATTGAAAGTTGACTGCAAAGATGGAACGTTAATGTCACCAGAAGACTATCCGCCCCGGTTGCACCGATCGTTAACAATGTACTCGTTGGTATCAAATAAACGCAGAACAAGGCGTACGTTTGCAGTTTCGTTATTTCGTAAACGTTATTCACTTTCATGGGTAATTCGAAAGGAAGGGTACAATTATTGTACTCTGTGAATCGATAAGATGTATTAATATAAATTACAATTATATAATAAATTTTTTTCAAGCGCGTGTAAATTACACACAATTAAAAAGAAATAAAATAATTAACGTTACATTTTGATGGAAGTCAGTCAGATTAAAAAAATTTCGAAGATTTCCACGTTACAACGAAGAACGCGATAATAATAAAACTGAAACTTTTCGCTCCACTCCATCTCAAAAAAAAAAAACGAAGAAAAGAAAAATCGGAAAAGCTAAAAATCCGGCTATCCACTCTCCGCTACTTAGGCCACTTATCGAAAACGAAGAGAGGGAAGAACGTGGAAGCCCATCGAGTACATAAATTCGCGTTTGCCCGACTGTTGGGAAAAAGGGAAACTGAACACTGCCGGTGGTCGTCGTGCAAAATCCTCGTCGAACTGTGACAACCTCGTAAAACGTAACCGTTTTGTGTATCCATGAAGGAAGTAACTGTCTCGCCACGAAACACCATAAACCTGCACACGTTAGGTAACTGTAAGCGCGATCATATGGATACAGATATCGAGTGCGTTTCCTGGATTCGAGCGATAAAGTCCGCATTAAAATCTTGATTTATCTTACCCGACTATCCGTGACGCGTCGATAATGCCCGCTGCTTTAATAAAACCGCCATTTTTACCACTCTTTTCGCAACGAAGACCGGATCCGAAGACGTTCTTTCGACTTTTAATGAAACGTCATTCTCGATACACGGGTATAAAATTAAGTTCTTGATGTTGAAATTCTCCTGATTGTTAATTTTTGCAATATCAAATATCTCTTTGTGATTGTAAAAATTTGATAAGTGGATCGTCGTCATCGATAATGAATATATATATCTTTCGAAGTAAATGTACGGAGAGTGTGTTAATTTTTAGAATTTAAAAAAGATACGCGCGAATTCTTCCCGACGAAGAATATCGAAGAAACATCATCGATGAAGTTATAAATAAATATACTTTATTTTCCAAAAAATCGGGACGGAAAGAAATCGGGCGATCGAACTTACTCGATAAAAGACAGCCGATGATTGGCTTGGCGTAAAACAACGTGGGCACGAAGAATAAAGACAAGGCCGACGAGGTGGAAAATAAAGTGGCGGCCACGTTATACCAGACGACCGTCCGCCTTTCCTCCGCCGAACGATACAGGCCCTCGTTCACGTCCCTCTTGACGACCGTCAGCAACGGTAGGACGAGATGCATATTCATCCGGAACATCACGGCCTTCAGCACTATCAAGATGGTTGGGAACGATAGCGTGATATTTTTCAATGTCTTCTCAAGGTCGTGTATATTCTGGACCAGCGTCACGATCTCCAGCCAAGTGAAGATCACGACGTACGTAATGTAGAGAAAGAATCGAACGTCGTTGCGATTATCTGGCCAGAGGCCGGATAAGCCCAACAAACGTTTGCTCCACGAAATCACGTTCTTGTCGTAGAACAGTTCTACGTACGACGATATCGGCCTCCTCATCGTCGAGGACGCGACAACTCTGACACGGTATCGCGAGTCGTAGACGTTAACGTTTTTATTTTATATATATATATATTAATGAAAGTATCGAGTATTGCAATTTATAGATTTTCGAATGTTTCGAAAAAATCTTGCCGCGATAAAATTAAACTTCTCTTCGTGTCAACTTTAATTTGGTTTTCATCTTCGAGAATGGTAGAAGAGAACATGTTATAAGGATAACTTTTTGCTCTACAGTCTTCTATAAGACGGTTGTAATAGTGGAAGAAAAAGGCGTAATTTCTTTCGTATCGATCTCGTTAAATATTTATCTTGGATTTGCTCGATTATGTACGTATCGTAAAATTCCAACTTATTACCAGAATTTCTAATTTTTCCAATGAAAATTGGTCTCCGTTTGTAAAAAGTTGGATTACTCGTAAGTGCAGGAAATTGGAGGATATGCAATTTTCATTGGAAAATCAGAAATTCTGGTCGGTTGGAATCGTGACAGTTCGTTCGATCGATACTAGTTCTCCATTAATGGGTAATTACACATTCCTCGATCGGTATTGTTTCGAGGCGAGTCACGCCATTGGCGCGAATTGCTCGAATCGTGACTGCAACTTTGTCAGAGACTTATCTGCATACGTTATAGAGTTTCGCTTGGTGCGACGATCGTGAGTGAACTTTCCGTGAGCGGACACGTAATTGAGCAATTATTACTTCCTGCACTACACATTTAACAATTTTTATTTTGCACGATCGGAAAACAATTATTTTCTTGCATCACTTTCCTTTCCTTTCGTTTGATCGAAAACGCGTATTCGATTCGTATTGCTTCAAACTGTGACTTCCATCTCTAATATTTCAATTTATCAGGTTGAAAAATAAAAACTGGATAATATCCCTTCAAATTTTGTCTAATTTCTTAAATATTGCTTAACAACCTCATCACCATTTTCCATCAATCAACCATCTATCGATTCCATCAATAATTATCTACACTCGAGAAGATTGTTTCAAGCAAGACAAACTTGAGAAGAGTACTCGTCGATTCAAGATTACGTCGATTTAAACATTTCGTTCCAAGAGACTGTTTCTCTACGCCACGATTTAGAGATAGATCGCTAAGGTAAATCGATGCACGTAATTTGGAGTAATAGAGGCGCAAAGGACGGACAAGAAATCCTTTCCGATTCGAGGACGATGAAGAGCGCGTGTGCGTGGTGGCCGGAGCTTGCGACCGAGCTAGCGAATGCAACCAGTGTCATGCAGTCGTTGCACCGTGTGCACGTGGGGAACGTTGTTCATGCGAGGGGAGACACGGAAGCTCGTGGAGCACAGGGGCGTTAGAACGCTTTTAAAGGAGGGAGGAGTTCGAGTTTCGAGATGAGGTACAAATATATCGGTACGATAGGCGCGTTCCTGATCGCGACCACGTGCCTTTTGTCGGGGTTGATGTATTATTTCAGCCAAGGTATGCGATCTTTATTAATAAAAAAGTAATTTGATTTTTGATATCTCGGTAGAGATGAAATATTTAACGATTATTAAGAAATTATTTATTATCTGTGTGATTTAAAATTATCAAAATGTTTTATTTGTTTATATATTCCTGAGATTTTAAAATTACATTTCAATTATTATATATATATATAAGATTATTTCTTTTTCGTAGCGATTAAGGAATAAAATGGAGTTAATACAAAAAAAAAAATTTGGTCAATTGCTTAAACAAATAACACATTCATTTTTCATTTGGAAGCTAGAAATCGATTTAAATCTATTCTATTCTATTTCATTGAATCTTTATGCTTGCAAACAATCGTTGGAAATGCATATATCTAACTCTAATTTTTCTGATTTCAGATACTTGTCCAATGGGAACGTTCCTTTGTCAGAACACCACCATATGTCTGCCCCAGAAAAATTGGTGCAACCAAGAAATCCAATGTCCATACGGAGATGACGAGCAGAATTGCTGTCGGTTCATTCATATTTATTTTTCACGCAAAAAAAAAAAAAAAAAAAAAAAAAAGAATTACAAAAAAATAATAGTTTGGGCATTTTATTATTTGCACGTGACACTTTTGTATTGGGTATCAAGAGTATCAAAACCACCTCTTTCTCGGTCAAGAAACAAATTAAATTTAAAATTTAGTTACGATGTTATGACATTTTTATACGCCGCGCATCTTCTTCTTTACACTGTATAAATGCAAACCTTCCCCCTCCCTTTTTGTTGGAGCAAATATAAAAAGTTTACTTTGTATGCAGATGATTATCACGGTGTATTGGACTGGTTTGGCAGTGACAGAGATTCCAAAGCTGTGAAGGAGTTCGTTTGTGGTAAAGCAATATCCATAATTTATCGGGGAACGGAATACAATATCGTGTAACGGAAATAAAAATGCTACGATATAAAGAGAGATACGCAATGGACGAGATAAGAATTGTCAATTTACGTATTTTTCTCCTTTCTGCTAGATGCCACCGACGTTCCTGTCGGTTGTAAGTACGTGATGTGCCGTGCAACGTGTCAAGGATATTCGGAAATTCCACGAAACTTATCTTCTCAAACTACTTCCATGTAAGAAATTTTAAATGTTACGAACAGGGAAATTCCTTCCCGAAGTGTAATTTTTTTAATTTTTATAACGTTCATAGATTACGTTTCTTTATCTTCGATGATTTCTTTTAGAACTTTGTACGATAGCTCGATTGAACATGTCTCAGCGGGTGTTTTCGCGCAATATTCCGAGATTCGTATACTGTAAGCTTTTTAGCTTAACTCGAATTTTATTAAACCAATTTTGAATATTGAAAAATGTAATATTAATGTTACTTTTTAGGTATCTTGATGACAGTAATATACGTGAGCTAGAGAAAGGAGCTTTCGCCAATTTAACCAAATTGTTCTGGCTGTGAGTACATGGAATGTAATTTTAATTCTCATATAAAATGACGAACTCGCATAAATTTTCGATTGAACAGAGCTTTGGATAATAACGAAATTAGTGAATTTCTCCCTGGACATTTTACCGGTTTGACTAAATTGGAATCTTTGAAGGCCAATAAGAATCGACTCATTGTGGCAGATTTCTCAGACTTCAAAGGAAGCGTTTATTTGAAACTTATGTAAGATAATTAAAATGTAATATTATATTAATTATTCGCAATCTTCTAGAATTCGTCTTATATCGTTATTATAGAAATTTGAACGAAAATCAATTGACTTCGAAAGGATTGCGGTTGTCGGAATTGCCAACGCTTAGCGAGATGTAAGTTCGATTCTTTCTTCCTTTTTTTTTTTTTTTCAAATTAAAACCGATTTACATAAGAATTCAAATTTCAGATTCTTGGATGAAAATAATTTCGAATCGATTCCTCTGTTCGCTGGATGTCCCTCGTTAAAATCCCTGTACGTACGTAAGTAAATAAAAGAAATATGGAAAGATTAAGATCCCTCAAAAAAAAACAACGTATCTCACAATTATTACAATTATTATTATCACGGACTATTCTTCCAAAGTTCTATTCTAATTTACCACGTCTTAACGCTCGTTAAACTTTAAATTTCTTCCCGCAAAGAAGTATCGCGGATAAATTCCTCTAAGAGGGAGTTAAAGTTATTCTTTTTTTTTCAACCGTTGTTATTTATGAACCACTGAACCAGAAGTATGCAAAGCAACAAGATAAAGGGGATCGAGGAGGACACGTTTCAAAATTTGGAGCAGCTGGTCGAACTGTAAGTTCCTCGCGTTACATCAATTTGCGTACGCTCCTTATGGCAGTGTAACGAAGTTATGTCCGTCGTACATCATCCGTGTGTCGTGTGCAAAACGGATTTTTTTTCCCTTTCAGTAATTTGGCGTTCAACGAAATAACGACCCTCCCGCTCAATGTATTCCAACCGTTAAAAAATCTGACGAGCCTGTAAGTATACGAGGCACCGGTATCCACATAAATTGTAACGCTACACGTCTTAAGCTACGCGCGTGCTTGCAACATGTTTACCTGATATTTACCGTCGTACACACGGCGTTAGAAAAGCAAACGAGAGGAACGTCACGTATGCCGGCGTTAAAACTTTTATTTATTGTACCGGCACGTACGTGCGGAAAATAAGGCCGATACGAGTTTTGCCGTGTCGTTTTAGCAAATTTTATGATAGAATTAAAGCCCGTTTAAACGGGGATTATTATAAACCTGCGCCTGGTGTACATCGAATAATTTTTAAAATTGTTATTCATTACAGACAATTAGGTTATAATCATTTACATAATTTACCGATAACCGTTTTGAGCCCGTTGACGAGACTTCGCTCTCTGTAAGTTTCTATTCTAAATTTCTATATTTTACGGTTACGTTTATTATCGTATTTGCGATTCGTGGAAATTTTTTTTTTTCTTTTAATCGAGTGATTTTGCGCCCGATTCTTATTATCAGAGACTTGGAGGGTATAAATTTGGATTCGTTGGAGAAAAATACGTTCGACGTGTTCAAGCTGTTGGACTTCGTGTAAGTAGATTCTATCTGTGTAAACGTGGGACAAGTTTATTTCGTACGTAAATGGAATTTGGCGAATATCATTTTACAGATACTTCAAGAAGTTTCATTATTGTGCGACGTATACACCCAACGTGAAACGATGTCGACCCACCAGCGATGGTAAGAGTTTAAAAAAAAAAAAAAATGATACGAATTTAATTTCTTTCGTATTATTCGATTATAAGATATTAAACTAAAATTAATTTAGACTTTATAACTCGATAATAATAACTCGGTATAAACGTGTTCTTTCGGTTCATCCTTATAAATAATCGTGATTTACTACGTCCTATTAACTTACCTATGCGGCTTTAATCACGAACAACCCTCGCATAAAATAATCTGACGTTAATGGGTTATGAGGCTACTATTAGGCCATTAAATACATTTCTCACGAAATTACAGCTACTATAACATTATTTAATGATTTTAATCACGCTTGTAAAATATCTACCAGTTATTAATATAATAACTAATAATAATTGTAGGGGTAATATTCCGATTAAACTTGTTATTAAACTTTTGACTCGTTGGAAAAAGAAAAAAAGAAAAAAATATTAAAATGCAAATAATGGATTCATATTCGATTGGCAATATTCTACACAGGCGTATCGTCGTTATCTCACTTGCTCGATAAAACTTTGCTACGAGCAGCAGTATGGATAATTTCTGGTGTCACCTGTGTGGGCAATGTGCTTGTATTATGGGGAAGATTCACGGCCAAAGACGAGAACCGTGTATTAACTATCATTATTCGGAATTTAGCAGGTAAATTATATTTGAAATATTATTTATATTTAACGTAATTTATTTAACTGAATTTATGAAATTAAGAGTGGAGTAGTTAATCTTATGACTAACAAATATCATTATCTCTATTTTATAATAATATTTAAAAAAGTTACGCTAATGTTTTCGATATATCGTGTTATAAAATATATTTATTTGAAACTTTATTTAAAAAAAAAAATCGATCTCGTTTGTTGTTAATGTTGTAAAAAATGACACGATCTATCTCAATATTATGCATCGTAAATCATGCAAGGAATCGTATAATCTTTTTACAGTCTCCGATATGTTGATGGGATTGTATCTATTCATAGTCGCTCTTGCGGACATAATATTCCGCGATAATTACTACCAAACTGCCAGCATGTGGATGTCCTCCTGGTTTTGCACATTCTTAGGAATTTTGGCAATGACGTCTTTAGAGGTATTTCGAATAAATTGCGAATTCGTCAACTATTCCCAAATTTCATGTTTGAATCTCGACAATTGCTCAGAAAGACGGACAGAATATATTATCAATATCAAATCTTTTGACTATATTTTATTGAAAACTTATTCGCAATTTTCTTTGCACACTTTTCTATAATTTAAAAGATTGAAATATCATTCACACCGAGCTGTACAGATTCTTTTATTTTAATATCTATTAAATATTCGAGTGTTTGTAAAGTAATCGAATGTTAATTTATTGAAATGAAATCGATTTATCAAGGTTTCTGTATTGATCCTGTCGTTCATGTCTATGGAACGATACGTGCTAATCGCGGCACCACTGAAAGGTCACCGTATCATGACACCCCAGACAGCATCTACATCGGTGATCATCATTTGGATCATAGGAATTACACTCGCCCTCGCGCCAGGTTCATTTTCACCTTTCTTATCTGTTCGAGAATCTTGATCGGTGATAATATCTAACCTATCAAGATATCGGGCTGCTTGTTAAATGGTTGTAATAATGCGAACCAGACGATGTGCTTGTTTCGTTATTTTGTGAATCAATTACATGTCACGTTGATTGTATTCTAATTGTATAGAAGAGAGTAAAATTTAATGATTTTAAATAATGAGTACTATTGAAATTCAAAATAATGAATAATTTGCTTTCTAATAATTTAAAATTTAACGACGAATTGTAAATTTTTATTTTTTATATTTTACATTAAATTTTTTACGGTCGATTATCAGATTTTACAATCGACAGAATTGTGAATTTTTATTTTTTTTATTTTATATTATATTTTTTACAGTAATTTACTTACTCCTTCCTAAAGGAGAGGAATCAAATTCCTTCATTCGAAAAAAATTCACAAATCTCTCTTCATTCGTTTCAACGTATCTCGAAGCACGAGTACAATCGAATTATTTTATTCCATTTAACAATTCAATCCAGAGAGATAATAACACGTTTCCAAACTAATTGTAATTCATTTGAAAGTGATCATCTGGCGAAGTAGCACGAGATTTTACGGAGTGAACGGAATGTGCTTCCCTCTTCACATCGACGATCCATTCCTAATCGGATGGGAATATTCGGCCTTCATCTTTCTAGGAATAAATCTTATGGGGTAAGCAGTGGCCATTTAAAAGAAAAAACTATAGAAATCAGAAATAGTTGATTTAATAAATGTTTCTTCGTTTCGAAACGAAGGAAAAGCAGATATTAATGTTAGTTGGCGATTACAGGCTGATCACGATCGGTTTCGCTTATTTCGGTATGTTCCTGAGCATTTGGAAAACGAGACACGCCTGTTCCTTGTCTGTCGGCGATTCTGAATTCGCCTTGCGATTTTTTCTCATCGTTTTAACGGATGCAGCCTGCTGGGCACCGATCATCGTTCTGAAGATTAGAGCTTTGTTGAAGTATCCCATTCCAGGTGAACTATTTTAAAATTGCATCGTCCAAGCATGAATGAATTAATCGATAGCTGATAATTCGATTTGCAGCGCGCAGAGTTAAATTGCACGTTTGATTTAAAAAAAGAAAAGAAGAAAAGAAATGGATGCTCGAGTTCAAAAATAATTTAATGGAATATTACATTTTGTTACAGCCGATCTTCACGCATGGGTGATAATTTTTATATTACCCGTGAATAGTGCGGTTAACCCGTTGTTATACACGTTCACCACTCCGAAGTTTCGGGAGAAATTGCACGACGAATGGTTTAGAAAAGTGCATAATTGCGTGACACGAAAATCCTCCCAAGGTATTTCATTGTAATTTGAATATTGGATTAAATTAAACTTAACGAAAGAGTGGATAAAATTGACAAGGAAATATTATAGATTCGCGGATATCCACGACGATAAACAAGAAGAATATAACGTCGTGTTTGAACAATGGAATTAATAATTACGACGATAAAATTCCATCGTTGTTTCAATTTAATAAGGAGAAAATTGTGTGTGTGAAATGCGATCACGTTCTATGAACTTGCATTATATTACGATTCATTCGATAATTGCTCGAGAAAGACACTTACTTTCTTGAAAAATTGATATAAAAATTAATCAATGCTTGCAAGCCATCGATTCAACAAATTAACGCTTGATAATAATAATTTTATAAAGAATTATACACTATCGTTGAATATTCAATGGAAAGGAAAAAAAACTCTTTCTCTGTATAAATGCTGTTGCATATAAAATAAAACATGGTTTTTGAAAATTATTATGCATCGATAAAAAGAAAAGAAACGATTCAATATCGTATTAAAAATTTTCAACAAAGTAACAAGTTAATAAACCTATCCTAAACGATTATCGCACTATCAATCAAAGTCAATGTCAAGAAGATAAAAGAAGATAAAATTATCTACATATATATATATATATAGACAAAGTCGATCACGCGTAGGTGGTAAGTAGTCGCATTGACATTAAACGTAAAATTCAATGCCACATTGTTCAACGATTCACAATGATCAATCCCGTATTTTACGTCGTATTTTACCGGAATAAATTGAAGATCATTGGCTCCAACTTATTATCATCTTAAACGTTTAACTCGAAGTTCTTTCTCGAGATAGAAGGAAGTTAATTTCACGGTGTCGTAAAATGACATTGTCCATCGGTTTTGCCATTATCTTTTGTAATTAGTTACAGTTGCCCTCCTATTCGACGCATCCACCCACGCTTTACCTCATCGAACAGAATTAATTCCTTTGCATGGATCTTAAAGGTGGTATCCCTTTTATTAATCAAGGATTGAACATTGTATCCTACCTTGATAGGTAGTTTAATCAATTACCTTCCTTTATTAGCCGACAGATGCGTCGATAAGATACAAATTATCTACATGGAAGCATAAAGTTCGTTAAAGATCGAAATTTCACCTCGTAATTAAACTTTTTATATCCCCTTATAATATTCATAAATTGTACGGTAACCAGAAAAATTATTCGCCACGCGTATACTTATTTCCCAAAGAAATAAGTTTTCTTCTCCTTTTTCCTCTTTTTCTTTTTTTAAACACATCGAAAAATTGATGCATTGACGGTGTAATTGAGTTTTCAGCGATTAATAAGCGTAACGAGAACCGATTAATCGCGTTCAAACAAGCGAAGATATTTGAAATATCGCGGCGCAAATTAAAAAGGCAATCTCATATTGTAATTAAATATTTTTATTGAGAGGGGATCGAGAGCGTTACGAAGGAACATAAATTATTATACCGGCCAAAAAAAAAAAAGGCGCATCGTTGCACTCTACGATTCGCCGCCACGTGGGCCGCCTCTTATACGATATAATGTATAATTTATGGTAGATGGCCAATGGGAGGATCCCGTTAAGGGGCCTCGATACTTCCTTGCAAAACACTTCGTCTTTTCGGACTGATTTTTCTTCCCGTCTTCAGACGTACTGCTATTTCCTACCATTCCATCATTCCAATCAAATAATTAATTTTGTTTTCACTTACTAAAATTTCGTAAAAAAAATTCTTTACGGGCGAGTTTTCGAATATTTGAATAATAAAGTAAAGATATTAATATTAGAAAATAAAAGGAAAATATATTGTATTATTTCCTGAAATTTTTGCGTTTCTCTGATCTAACATCAAAACTTTGAATTTCCGTATCTTGAATCTTGAAACTTCCAGATAAAGACGAAGGTCGCATTGCATCACGCGAGTACGTTTCAGGGTTGGGGCTTGATCAATAAAAGTTGGTTACACCGAGGTGCAAAATCTTCGTTGCATTTTAAAATCCCGTATAAGCATGCAGGTGAGCGTGCGGTGCGTCGTCCTTGATCCACAGTAGGTGGGTACATCGGTGCATGTAGCTTGAAAAATAAAGGAATGGTGTGCACGGATCGCGTTGAGAAATAGCAACCAAGTGTGCACGAGGTATATACGATTCCGTGGGATGATTCAATGATTCCATTTGGAAGTGAAATCGTTTCCTCGCGCGGAAAATTAAGTTACGCGACTCCTCTCTATGATCTCTAATTATCCCTTCAAAATCTCTCGCAATTTAAACGTTCGATCGATTCGCAAAGCTCGTCTTTCTGAATCAATTCCCGTCCAATCTTATCTCCTCTTCTTTAGAAGGAGATTCAGGTTTAATAGTCAAAGCTCTCAGGAGACAAAGGAGAAGAAAATGAATTAATCGGGCGAGATAATTTCGTTAAGTGGCTTCCTCCTCGATTCGCGAAACGTGGTCGTTTGAATACGGATGAGATGATTCATAGAAACGCGTTTTCGCGCGTTTTTCGAATCGATAATGGCCGGCCGGTGTACAGGGAACGCGTGCTAGCTACATCGGCACGCTCATTATCTTGCAAATTAATTCCTTTCTAACCGTGCATGGAAAAATGCGTGTTACCTCAACGTACCCCTCTCTCCCTCTCTTTCTGCGGCCGAGAGACGATCCGTAATTGTAAACGAGGGACCGTTTTTCCCTTTATTTTTCGGCTCTCGAGCGATGATACACGGATGGAATCTGTGCATGCAACTACGTTTCCTTACGAGATTAACCTTAACGCAAAACACGAACGCGAATCGAAGGGGAGGCTTAACTTGTAATCACGAGTGATAATAACTTCACTAAGGCGGAAGGATGCGATACGAGTTGCAGGTACGATGCAGAAGGAAGATGAGGTATCCATTACGCGTTAAATGTCGTATATACGACGCGCTACTTGTTTTCCATATATATATATATATATATATATATATATATATATATATGTATATATGCTGGATCGAGAATCATAAAATCAAAAATGAAATTATGCTTTAAATCAGCCGGTTATTTCAATAAAATAATTACAAACTTCTTGGGCCACTACGATTCTCCATACGTGATGATGTTTAACTTTCTTTACGAAAAGTGAGCCATCTTATTTTTATTAGAGATGCTTCCACGTATCATAAATAACAAGATTGTTTGAAATTTTCTACCTCGATTGTTGAAAAAATTGTATCTTGTGTCGTCAAGATTTCGAGGTTTAAATTCGCGAATGAAAACTTTTAAACCTTTTAATAGAAAAATAATCGCAAACACTTTGATCGATGAGGATTCTGTCGAAAATGTGGACATCCCTAGTCGATTCAGTTCGAAAGGCAATTGTCCCGTGTCTTTCTTGGTAATCAGAAAAAGTTGGTCCCCTTCCTCCTCCTCCGAGTTAATCTTGGAGGAATGCAAGCGATCGAGCGATGGAGCGTATGAATGTCGGACATAGGATTTTTTTAACGAAATTTAGCGGTACGCCGGGAACCGGGAACCGTTGTCGCGCGCCGACTTCCGCATTGCGCGCGGTTTTTCGAAACGGCTGGGAATCCTTTAAAGTTGCTTAACGAGATGATGACTCCTCGGATCGTGCGGTTACGATCTCGTATAAATCTGCACCCGTACCACGGAGTGGGACACGTTAATTAAGCGCGCGCCTTTTCCTAGTTCACCGTGGAAGCTTATGCAAATCGATCTCTGAGAGCTGGATATATCGTTTGGTTATGTACCAGGCGCAAAGATAAAATCGCCTCGCCTTTCTCCCGTGCGCGCGACCGAGTAAAAGAAAAGAAAAACTCTCTCTTATTGTCCCCCCTGTGTGTGAACGAAAGAATCGACTTGACCGGTGATTAAACGGTTTTGCACCGTTTTGCTGTGAATGCAACGAAAATCTGCTGAGTCGGCGTGACACGGGGGGAGGGGGGAAAAAAGGTAATTCGTGCGAAAGTGAGAGGCGGAGATGATGATGTTGAATTGGCTTTTATTTATTTTATTCTTGTTATTATTCGATGATTGATCGGTGTTGCGAATTAGTTTACAGGATCGTCCTGTAAACGCGGCGGGGGAATCCACTTCGGTGGATGAATTTTGCACGCGAAAAAAGAGGAAAATTTTATTCAACCTCGTTTTTAAGTTGTAAAGTTTCTTTATCGATAGCGCGTTTGTTCTCTCGTTCGATATCTTCGCGAAATATTGGCTGTTTTGTACATTTAATTATCGTATTAATTATATTGTCTCAACTTGTAAAATTCATTGTAATTAAATTGAAAAGATCATATAGGAGGGCTTATGTTATAATTTCTTTTATTGTTCACCTGTATAGATTCATCCACTGCAACGAGATAACTTGTATATTTCTTAAGAATATTTGTTTTTGTCGGTTCGAGTGTAAATTAATTCACGTATAATACACAGAAATAAAATAAAATAAAACTCTTTGTAATTGGGTTAAGAATGGACAGGAAAATTACGTAATTTATTCTTTGATAGTCATAAATCTTGATAAATATCTCGTATTTATCTTGATAGGAAAAAGATTGTTAGGAAAAATAATGCGAGTATCATTGGTCATCTGATTTTTGATGCGAAAAATTGGAAACAAATGGATACGTTCGAACGAATCTATAAATCATATACTCCTCGTGGAAATTACTTTTCGTTCGGAAGGTTCGAAAGGTAACCTTAATTACATCTTAGAAGATCTATTTAGTTTGTATGCAATGTGAAAGACGAGTGAAAGCACGCCCTTGCGGAAAAGTTGATTGACGGTGCAACGTGTGACACAGAATTTGAGAAAAGGTTGCAATTATTAGCAATAGTAGAAAGAAGGACTTTGAATAATGTTGTTTGTCACCACAATCGTCTTTGCATTGTTTCTTCACTTTTTATTTGTTAGCAAACGTGCGTTGACCGGCATACTTAAATTGTCTGTTTCCTTGCATTTCACGAGATTTATTCGAAAATAAAAAAAAAATCTGAATTAAAAGCTGGAAAAATATATACCGGTATAATTCTATATTAACACCAGTATGTGATTTAACGATAATCTATTTAATAATATTCCAATTTCTCGCACGATTTTTGATATTTATTAAATTCTATTTCTCGTAATCATAGAAAGTAGACAATTTATATTTAGAAAAATTCGATAAAGCTTTATTTCAACACCGTTTCCACGTCAAATTAAATTTATATCAATATTCAAATTAATGGCTACATATGACGTTTCTTACTACTTTCTACTTACAGAAATTTTCACTTGTTATTTACCTACGACCAAATAGGAATTCAGAGATTTACAAAACAAAACGATAGATTGTTTTTTAAAAAAAAATATTCCATCATTTTACAAGCAAATTTACTTCTATCACGACATCAAATATATAAAATCCGATATCGACTGGAAAAAATATTTTAAACAACTGATAT